TTATATACACATACAATAAATTATTACAATATATATTATTAATGAATATATATATATAAATGTATAATTTTATATAAATATTTTGAAATCTTACCTGCAGAGATATACACGTGGCTTCCTTCTTCTCTTCATCCTTTCTAACGCCTCTCCTTCTTCCAATTGCTTTCTTACTCTCTACTGAAAGCATAATAATGACTATGTATAGAAATACATACCGACACGGACGATTAAAGTTCATCGCCGGAGGGTGCAATACTGAAGTATTTGACCATCACTATTGTTTCTCTTTTCCACAACCAAAATGATGCGCGTTCTATTGTTTACCATCTTTTTCAATAATACGAAAGCAACGGGTTTGTGTGTGTGTGTATGTGATATGTTGTTTCTTAAATATTATATGTATAAGTCTAACTTTTTTTCTCTATTCTACGATCATATATGTAAATTTATAACAATAATAATATTTAAATTATATGCAATAATTCCAAAAATTATTTTCTGCTAACTCTGTATATGCATATGTAATCATAAAATTGCTTTGTAAAATTATTTATATATATATATATGTATCTCAATTAATATCTGTACATGTGTTTAGTATGTACCTGTAATTCTGCAGCGATAAATTATTTTATGATGAGTGCATTTTTCCAATAATTCTTATTTTATCTCTGGGTATATGTAGTATCTTCTGTTTTTTATATGATTTAAATGTTTTTTATATGTATTAACCCTTTGAGTGCTATGGACGCATATATGCGTTTTGTTGTATCTTGTCAGATGAAAATAATATTGTGAGAAACAAAAATTGTAATTATTAAATATAATTTATTAATATTAGCATCTAATCACATTAATAATAAACTATTTCATTCGTAGAAAACACTTCAATTAAAAGTATTCAGCACTCAAAAGGTTAATAAATGAGAAATTAAAATATTTCAAGAAAAAAGAAAGGAATTAAATATATATTTTATAATTAAAGAAGTTCAGTTTAAATCTAACGATCTAAAAAACATTTGATTTCGAAAAAAGGAAGATATAAAAATATTAAATAAAATAATATATGAAAGATCTTTACAATTATTTGGGGAAACAATATGAATGAGTAAATTATTTTCTTTAAGAATCCTTATTGTTTTATTTATTATCTTCTTTTATTATTCATTGTATAATTCTCTCTAAACTTAATCTATTTTTATTTATTACTAAACTTATTATATATTTATTAAAAAATGTTATATGTTGCGTTATGTATAACTTAAAAGGTACAGATATTGTGTGTGTGTGTTTTGTATAAGTAAATATATAATGTAAACTATGCATAAGATTAGAAAAATATCAAAGAGAATATGCAATCATGATTTAAATTTAAAATGCTAATACTTTATACTAAGAAACCTCTCGACTTGAAATAAAGAATTTGACTCGTAATGGTAATATAATATTAAAATATAAAACAACGAGCTATACATTCTTTGTGCAGTTTATCGAAGTAATCTTATCCGTATGAAAAAAAAACTGAATTTAATTATACGTTAAAGAATTAAAATTAAATTTTTGTTTGTCTAAGTCAATTGGGTGTAAATTTGCAAAATATCAAACTTGACTGATCTTTTTCGTAGATCTGCTAGAACTTTGACTAACCGATTTAATTAGTCTGACATAGCAATTGTTATATCTTCATTGGATGCTATTTTCCTGGGTCTTCGTCTTCTGAGTAAATCATGTAGGCTTCAAGTGTCCTGAAACCTTTTAATTAAATTGTAGATAACTTATATGGTTAGCGATGAAATGTCTGGAAATTTTTCTTGAAATGTATAAATTGCTTCTTTCATAATGTTCAATTTTAACCACAGCTGTAGTACGAGCACGCATTGCTTTTTTGTTAATTTACAATTCATGCTTGCTTCTCACAAAATGTAATGATTGGCCACAAGATCAGTTGAGTAACTTTCATTTTTTAAAACAACTTATGGGACACCCTACATACATATACATAAATATTATAAATGTGATGTGTTATGTATATATCTATATATGTATGCATGTTATATATAATATGTGATGGTGCATTATATATGTATGTTACACTATACATAATGTGTAACTCATATTATTTATGTATTAAAATAAAAAATTTGATAAAGTACCACTAATTAATGTACAATTATTAATAAAAGTATCGTTATAAAGGAATAAATACAGAAATATTATGAAAATAAATCTAAAACCTTCGAAAAAATAGATCACGTAATAGCCGACAAAAGAACGCCAAAACGACACAATTTTATTTTCACGTTAAGACAACTAAATTGCACTTTGTGAATAACGCATGTTGGAAAATAAACTTTAACGAATCAATTAGTATATTAGACGAATGTATATTCTAAAAAAATTAAATTAATTACCTAAAATTTGCAAGAGTGACATGGATTCTGCTTCAACCCGGTACAAACAAAACCAACATGGCATCATACTCCTGTAAAATCAGGTACCATGGAGCCTATAGACAAGGAAGACGATCGCCGTGTTATAAATGTGGGTACAATATTCACAATGAAAGGATGATTTCTATTGCCACTAGAGAGCGCGTCTAGTCGCTTAGTATGATTTTTAAAAACAGTAATTAAAACAAAAACATCAAAGAGAACTATTAATTTCATTTGTTTATTTATAAAATCACACGTACTTAAATCTAAACTTAAGAACTCGTGGATAATTATCGTACTCGATATTCAGTTATTTTCAACAACACAAATTCGACGCAAATGCCTATCTTGATCGTCCTCCTTGTATATAGCTTCGTTTCAGGTACCCAGTTCTGCGCATACGCATCTCGTTCTCTCTCTCTGCTCGTTTCTTCTCTCTTCCTCGTTCTTCTTTAATTTTACTTGTTCTAAAAAATGGTAGTTAAATATTATTATTGTCACAATCGTTTCTGTTTTGTTTTCTTTCTAATTAAAATATTTTACTTATTATTTTTTTCTTTTTTAGTTTTGGTTGAATGTAGGCAACGTGTGAATGCAGCCATTGGTCAAAACTTTCATTCGCAACTGGTGATTAGTCGGTTTCCTGTAGACTATCAACTTAACTTTTAAATCTAATTTTCTACTAGATGATATTTTAATTTTATATCTTTTTATATATCTTTAGGATACTACGTGCATTTAACAAATAAAATATTCATGAAAAATATGATTATTTAATTTTTGAAATATAGTAGGTTTTAATTCGTTAGCAGTTCATAGAAGCGATATGATTGGTCTATTCTTTGAATTCTGAAATACAGAGAAATGATTTGTTAAATTGTGTTGCTCTAACTATTTAATGGAAAACAAGCAAAAAGTTTTCTCTACCAGAAGTCTTTATGAAAATATTTTCGAAATGATAAATAATCGAATTATAATAGTGTTGTTTTTTGGTGAACAATAATAAATCAGTAATTTATTCATTATCAGACAAGTAATTATTTCGGCGGTTACGAAATAGTGAAAAATAATATAAAATAAATTTCGATCATTGTTAGTATTGAAAAAGTTAAACGATAACAATGGTTAATTACAATTAACCGAATTTTTTAGAAATTAAAAGATACGTTTATTTATTATAGTTATTCGATAATTATATAAATATATAAGAAAATCTGTAGACATGAGTTCTCATCACTGTTTAACATCTTCTGGAGAAGTCGAACACACAAATTTACTCTCTGAGGATATTGGTGCTCTTCATCTTTCAAATAATTACACGGATGTAACGCTAATAGTTTCAGACCAAAGATTTAATGGTCACAAAATAATTCTAGCAGCTAGAAGTCAATATTTCAGAGCTCTCTTGTTTGGCGGTTTGAAGGAATCGTCTCAGGAAGAAATTGAATTAAAAGGTGCATCTTTGGCAGCTTTTAAGAAATTATTTAAATACATATATACTGGTCGTATGTCTCTTGCTAATCAACGTGAAGAGGTATCCAAATAAATATATATTTATAAATATAGTTTATTTCTATGTAACTGCGATGTAACAATAAGAATACATTTTTTTGTTATTTTTCAAGGTAATTGTTGACATTCTCAGTTTGGCCCATCAATATGGATTTTTAGAGCTTGAAAGTGCAATATCAGATTATCTTAAAGAAATTCTTAGCGTAAAGAATTTTTGTCTTATATTCGATGCATCACGTCTTTATCAACTTGAGTTTTTAACCAAGGTTTGCATTTACTTATATAATAGATTATCATGTCGCTTGTAATCTTTTACAGTGGGTGATCAGTTAAAAAACAGTATGGACTGCAAATAAATTGGACAGTGAACACTTTCGCTAAAGATCTTTATATTTAGACAACAAACATATGTTCATTAACTGATCACCCACTGTATAGTTACGTGAGCTAAAAGTTATAAGATATATATGCGTATACATTTATTGATTTCTTCATGTTTTCTTGTTTGGTCTTGAAAAAGGTGTGTTATGAATATGTGAACAAACACGCTGTAGAAATTATACATCATGACAGTTTCTTACAATTAAGTCCCTCCGCAATAAACGAACTTATTTCATGTGACTCATTCTACGTGCCTGAAATTGATATATTCTTAACCGTGCAAGAATGGATCGCAACAAATCCTGATGTGGATCCAACTGAGGTTTTAGGTCTGTAAAAACTTTTTATATATACTTTTTTAACGTTATATCTGTTCTTACTTTTGTATAGAAAGAGAAAAAAAAAGAAAAAGTAAGGAAAAGAGGAAAAACTAATAATATCAAACTATAATATTTTAGCACAAGTAAGATTAAGTCTTATCTCTTTGACCGATCTATTAAACATTGTGAGATCAACTAGATTGGTATCCTCCGAAGCTATTTTAGATGCAATAACAGCAATAACCGAAAGACCTTCAGAACTTCCTTTTCGAGGGCAATTGTTAATAGACGAAAATGTTGCTCGTGCGATTCATGGGGCTCAAGTCTTACAAGGTGAAATGCGTAGCTACCTTTTGAACGGTGATAATCGTAATTACGATATGGAACGCGGGCAAGTGTATATATTAATATTTTATATTTATATGTATATATATATTTTTTAATTTGTAAAAATATATTTATTTAGAACAAAATTTTTAGAAAATGTAATAATAATTTTACAGGTATACAAGACATGCAATAACAGATACACAGGAACATGGTATATTAATTAAATTAGGTACACAATGTATAATAAATCATATGAAAATGTTACTATGGGATAGAGATTTACGTTCATATTCTTATTACATCGAGGTGCGTATCTTTAACCAAGTACTATAGAAATTAACTAAATGAATATTAAGTAAAACTATGAATTATTTTTTTTTGATTTTGATGATTTTCTTTTTTTTCTCTCTTTCTGTAGGTATCTATAGATAAAAAACATTGGACGAAAATTATCGATTATGCGGAGTACTTTTGTCGTAGTTGGCAGTATTTATACTTTGAACCGAGGATTATGCTTTATATTCGTATCGTTGGCACAAATAATACTGTGAATAAAGTAAGAAAGTTGTTTGTATAATATGTTAGCAACGTTATAGCTTGTTATCGAATGACATTATGTAATGGTTAAAAATAATGTATTATAGGTATTTCATTTGGTAAGCTTTGAAGCGTATTATACAAATCATACTGAAAAATTATCTAATGGATTTATCATTCCGACACGAAATGTTGCTACGCTGCAACTTAGCGCCAGTGTTACGGAAGGAGTGAGTAGGTACGTATAATTATTTTTCTTATACATAACTGTGTTTAAGAATCTATCCGTAATTATCTTTTATTTATAAATATTTTTCATTTATATAGATTTCGCAATACTTTACTAAATGGTAACACATCAGATTATGATTGGGATAGTGGATATACCTGCCATCAATTGGGTTCAGGCTCTATCTCAATACAATTAGGACAACCGTATATCATAAATTCTATAGGGTAATATATATTTTATTTGTTTGGTTATTTTTTTTTATAAACTTTTAGTTGTATTCATTATCATAAGTTACCTTTACAGATTATTACTTTGGGATTGTGATGATCGGTCATATTCCTATTATATAGAAGTGTCCGGTAATAGTTCAACTTGGGATAGGATAATCGATAAGACTAGAGAACAGTGCCGTTCTTGGCAAATACTTCATTTTCATCCGCCTAGACCTATTGTTTTTATACGTATAGTTGGAACCCATAATACAGCGAACGAGGTTTTTTAAATTAATTATTAATTAAATGGTAATCTTAATACATATTTCATTATCTAAATTATAAATGTGTATATGTTTATAGGTATTTCATTGTGTGCACTTCGAATGTCCTTCTCAATCTGAAGATAAAGTTCAAAAATCACCAATGAATCGTGGAAGACATTTTACAGCTAATTCTAGTAATTCTATTTTATCACAACCTTTTGAAATAACCATGAGACCAGAAGATAAAATATTTATGGATGATAATTCGTCAAATAATTCTGCGGAACTTTAATATCATTTAATATATGCGTTACAGCATTTTCTCTCGTGTGATAATAGCGTCCAGCAAAAACTTGTAAGACTATATAGATTAAGTATAATATTTATAAGAGTATAACAATATAATAACGTAATGCGCATCTCATATAAAATAATATTTATTTAAAAAGAGATCCTTCTTTATATCATAATATTTATAAATTCACTGAAAGATAATTAGAAGTTCAAGAATCACAAATCTTAACTGGGGTGCTTCATAGGTTTGAAGTATTGTTGTGTATTATACTCATTGTTTGTGGTCTCTCACGCGTATATACAGGGTGTCTGAGGTTTATCTGACCAAACAGTCTCAGCGTATTTTATGCCCAAAAATAAGAAATAATTGTTATGTAAACATAAGTTATTTAAAGCTTTATTCAAAAGTTGATTGGGAAAACCTCCAGACACACTCTGTATATATATAGAATAATTTTCTATTTGTTATAATAAAATTATTTCTCTCATTCATGTATATTCAAGTATATACATTTTTAGAATTTTGTAATATGATAGGTACAAAGAAATAGCAATCAAACTTAGGTGCCAAGTTTTTATTCTTCAAAATTATATTGACTCTCTGAGCTTATAGATTAAATGCTAATAAGTAAATCTTTATATCTCCCTCTATTTTCAGTATTTCATTTAATTTTATTTGTAAAATATATCAATGTGTATAAAAAAAACACCATTATATATAATACGTTATTTTTATATATAACAAATTATATAGAATACACATTATATATAAAAAGTTTGCAAATAATAATAATAGTAGTAATAATAATATATATATTTAAAAAACAATCTTTTTCCTAGTCTACAAAATAGTTTAAGATTATGATTTATTTATTACAGTTATTAGGTATAGATAAATGTGGTAGGGGATTTCTATAAGCGTCTCTTTATGTTGTAAATTGGAGTTTTTTACGCACATTATAAAAATATATATTTATTCTACTTATACAAAACAGTTCCATTTTATTTTATTGATTCAAAGTAGTCAAATATTCTTGAAAACCAAAAAATGTATAATTTTGTTCTTCTTATTTTTTTATTTATTTTATCTTTATCATTTATACAAATATTTATTATAAAATTCAATTACTTTATCACTTATTATGCGATCCATTTTAAATCAGCACATAATGATATATGATCACTTGGGAATACTATAGAAGGTAAACCAATATTTACACTAATTTCTTCCAAACTAGGCATTGGAATTACTTGTTCTACTTCAAGTTTATTCTTTTCGTA